TCGTTCTTAACTTAGTTATTCCTGAAATTTAGATTGCCAACCTAAAAAATATATATCGTAAATTAGGTCAAGAAGGAAAATAAGACAGTCTTCAGTATATCTATCGTCCACTGAAGATCCACACATACCAGTAGTGACTGATTATTTGCAGTCCCACATATTAACAATTTAAAATTATAATCCTTATCAATGACAGTTTGTTGAAGAAATACCAAGTATTGTAATTTTATTTTAATAACTCGATTTCCAACATGGAATCCAAGCTGTATTAATCAGTGAATGATAAATAAACAAATTAGCTGTTTATAATCACTTTTTTCCAAATATGTTAGGTGATTTGATCAAATCGAATAACTCGTGTTTCACATTCCCCCCATTTCATGGTTATTGTCATAGTAAACATATAAGGAATAAATGGTTCGCAGGTAAGAAACAATTTATTCATACCAGTCAGTCACTTGATAAAAACACATTAATTTAAATATTTTTCTTCAGGGTTTCTCACTGTCTAAAAACAACCTGAATCTGTAGTAGGTAATCACATGAATTGTGTTTCTTAATACCTCTGTCAATTAAATTTTGTCCAAATATTAACTGTACCGTGGAATAAAGAGATGAAAAATAATTTTGTTATTTAAACCTCAGCTTAAGACAAGGAGGTTATGATAGTGTTTTCATATAATGACTGTTACTTTGTACATTGTTCCGAGACTAATTAAAATAATAAAGAACAGTACTTTCAAGTGTGCTCACTACTTTCTTTATGACCTCGGTTCAAGTTCATTTATGACCACTAAAATACGTATTAGACAATCCTGGAATTAACTAATTGGTATACCAAATTCAAATATACTACCTCTACTTATCAAATAAATGACATTTAAATGGAAGGAAATTTTGTCCTTCCAATTATAAAAATAACTTAGTTAAAACACTGTTTAATGACGATTTTTTTTTGACTACATTATTAATTTTAACTGATTGGTTAGAACTGATATACACTTTAAACTAGAATCATAATTAACGTATCATACGGAAATTCTGGTAAAGTGTGATTAGGCGGGTAATATGGAAAGCAATTAGCTGGAGTTTAGTAGGGATTACAGAGACCTTTCCAAAGAAACTTCCAAGAAAATTTTGGAATAAACCCGTTTACTAGAAAGCTGAATAACACGACAGCAACACTGCAATAAGGCTAGATCCTAACTTCTAGTCCTACATCTTGTAAAACCTAACGCTTAACCATAACATACTGACGCTAACTAATCATTCCACTAGATAACCATCAACAAATTCTTTGAAAATACAAGATATAGTGAAAATAATGAGTGTCGGTAACAAGCTACCCAAAAGTGTTTTAAATTCGTTCATCGGTTAGCTGAAAACCGTTAGTTTGGTATAGTTTTATCGATAACACTTAAACTTTTACAAAAGTCTCCATAAGAGACTGAATATAAAATAGCCATTTTTAATGACAATGTCTGTTTTCCTCTTGTTCCGAATAAAATCTAACAGTCATATAATATTTACACTTTCGTATCATTATTTTAATACCAAACATAAAATTACAGTAAGTTGGACCTAGAATCTAAAAATAATGTGTAACTGTTTAGTTGTGTTTCATAAAATAGTTTATTAAGTTTGATCATTTTGATTAAAAGAATTATGATAGAGATAAAATGTCATCAATATAAAGTCACATTATCATTTAGTTCAAAATAATTGTCTGTATTCAAGCATCACCATACTTATTTTATTAGAAGTCGGTAAACCCAAAACTAGGAAGCATGAAACATCAGTCTAATTATCATTTGGAAACTCTGAAAAGGAACATACTGAGGATACCACGGAATATTCTAGTTTGGCAACTAGTTACCAGTAGCACCTTCTATGTTCGATCATTCCCAGTCAGATAGAAATCAGAAGTCAGACGAGAAGAGGCAGGAAAGATATATTTGATTGGTTACCAATATATCGAGGACCTTTTCTATAAGCTGGCTAATGAAACGTAGGAGCTGTGTCCCACGCCGTGTTGCAACGTGATCTGGTACGGATGCATGACCGAAAGCCTTCAGTTAAACAAGTCCACTTAAACAACGTGGTCAGCATCCAATGTCGAACACTTAATGAGCTATTGATTTTGGGGAATTATTTACAGCTACAGATCACACCCCCCCTAGTGAGGTAGTGATGCCCCTAAGACGTGACCAGTCAGAAGTTTAAACCCGACGAGTTTGTCGTTGGTAAACACTCTTCTGATAGCTTGCTTCGTTTAGTAGCGTCTGGTCGTCTTTCCTTAAACCATGGGACCAAAATATACAACATAGCAATAAAGAAATATAGTACAATGAAAATTTCGGTTCCTTGCGAAACTTCGTCGTTCTTTTCCAGCCGTCCTGGAAAAGAAGAAAAGCAAAACGTGTGAGTACATGTCGAAAATACACTCGTATTTGCGTAAGGACACAAGATGAGCGGAAAAAAATAAACTAATACACTTACAAACAGCGTAAAAGCGATCGGAAAAAAAGTTTTTGTTTTGTTTTTTATATAAATAAAAAAATGAGCATATTAAAATTTTTTTTATAATAAACCATGAAAGGGTAATTCAAGATAAAGCTTATATCCTACGTGCAATATTCGTTAAGATGTTCTGGAAATCTTACTCGTCTTCCAGAACGCGTTGTTTTAGGTTTATCTATCGACGTTGACGAAGTATCAAGTTGTGTGTCAGCTGTCGTGTAGGGTACTACGAGTGTAGTGGCTGTGTCGTTTGCTTGTACCAAAGGAAAATCGACGTAGCTAGGGTTTCTTTCTAAGTACGCTGCTTTGAGTCGATCGATACTGATGCTATTGTTCGTACCGTTCTTATCTACTACATAGTACTCAGTTTCGCGTTGAAGAACTTTGAAGGGTCCTTCGTATGCTGATTCGAGGGGTCGTCGATGTGAGTCTCGACGAACGAAGACGTGTGTACTATGTCGTAAGTCGGGTTGAACGTCGGGCTCACCAGTGTAAGAACATCTACGTTGATGTTCTATCGTCGAAATGATTGGGGGCCTACTATAGTTAGACGAGAATGGTGACGAATCATCTAACGCTGAAGTCACACCTCGCGACTGGCCCTTACGTGGTTTGAACCATCGACGCATCAAAGGATCATGGACGCTATGGAGACTGTACAACACAAAGGACGTTATTGGTTAAGGTACAACAACTAAAGTACAGAAGTGAAAGAACACCCACTGCCGCGTGAGCCAGTCCATGGCATATACTTGGTTGATGCGCGTTGACTATCCTTGACCTTGACAGGGATCAATGATATGTTCGATATTCAGTGACCCTACAATACTATGGTCACAAAAATATCACTCTATATGTTCAGGATTCTGGCAGTAATAATAATTGGTCTTTCTTGACAAGTGGAGTCATAATTCATACAACCAACTTGGTTTCATGTGATCTAGCTTGATCCAGTGGTAGTTAATTCTAAACTAAATGAAGTCAAAAGTTATTCCAGTGGGTTAAACGATTGTATTTATCCGCTAAGCATACTGGTTTGATGGAAGTTTTCTTCGATGTGATCTTTGTTATCTTTATTTTAACACGGTATTTGTATTCATTAGTGCAGTTGTAGACTGGAATTCCATTGTAGCAGTAAGCGAACATGATATGTAATGTTAATTTATTGTGATGGGAAATGGGTAACTAAAATCATTATTCCATTGTCAACAAATATCCTAATAAACTAAACGAAGAGAGACTTCGTAGATTAGGTCTTTCTTCTATTTACAAATCAGGTAGTAACCAAATACGGAAGCTGAATTTACAAGGTACACTAAGTTCCAACTTTGTAAGTTGTAAAATACTTGAAGGCTCCTCAGTCAAAGAGGTTAAGTTGAGGTGGACATCTTTTAACGTCACTAACCAGTGTCTTGTTCAATGAACGCCTGGCTGGTGCTACTACAGTTCCATCACCAAACAGATTTAAGAGAAATCTAGATTATTACTCATGAGTTGAAGAACTGTCTCCAGCTGGAACACAAAACAAATCGATGAAACAAGTTGTCATCGTTTGTATTCATATTCCTAAGTTTGTACATGACGAACTGTCTTATTTCTTCATGCTCTCCTTTATTTTATTGCTCCACAGACATCCAGCACATATAACTACCCTGTCTCTTGAAAATACAATGAGCTTCCATCAAATTTTATATCAAGTCACCAGCAAGGGCAAAAGTGTACCTCAACGCGTATGAATAATTGTCCAATGCCCATCAGTCTTCTGTTTTTAAGACAAGAAACAAACTCGTCTTTTTCTCCTTGTATTTCGGCCAACTAAGTTTTTTCAGGCTATAGGAGCCACAATTCAAACCATAGATCCTAAAAAATGACCGAAGAGTTACAGTCGTTGATCTAAACATCACTGGCCTGACGAAACCACGGCATAGTGCGCAATGCAGCAAGATACTGACAGGAATATACTCTATTAAAACATTAGAATTTGGTGCATCCACTCTTTGTGTTCTACCGAATTCTAATTCTTTAAATTCCTCATGGCCCTATCCTTTTTCTCATTTCAAATTTATCTCACTGTTTTATACTCTTTCAATAACATCTTCAAACCTTAATCTTTCACATAATGCTTATACTCTTACTACTTCTACCACTATGGGATTTGAATCGACAACTTCATCTCTGTGCTAATGTGGTATGGCAACTCGAACAGATGTACGTACATACGAAGTTCTACGTTGGGACTGACTGACTATTAAAGCATAATAAACCACTGAACAAATGAGTCATCCTGATCATGAAGGTGAACATAGACAAATAGTATCACTTTATTCTCCTGACCTTATCCACAAAGTGATTGGCGGATAGGAAAGAGTAAGACAGACACGCACAACCACTCAACCAATCACTTTATCCATCACTGTCTGGTTAAAATCTAACTACATGGCTAAGGCTGATCATCATAAAGTGAAGGTATTGCGTAACTGATGGATACTTCTGGACCTTGCCCTTCTGATTTCGTCGTTGAACGATTTATTGGTCGTGGATGCTACTCTTTTGTGTATGAAATTCGAAAAACAACTGGCTTTGATAGCGGTTCTAAATATGCTTTAAAACGTTTTCTTCTGGAGAGTGACTCCGCAGTTAAATGCGTTTTGAGAGAAAGACGGATTTTAGAACGTCTTGCTTTGTGTGATTTCCAAAGCCCATTTCTTCCTATGCTTTGTTACAGTATGTGGAAAAACTATTCATCTGCTTTTGTTCTCCGAGAAGGCTCAGGCTGTGATCTTTATGATCTCCTATGTCACGTTGGTTGTCTGTCAGAAAACAATACACGTTTTTATATCGCAGAGATTATTTGCGGCCTGGAGCATTTGCATTCAATGAGTATTGTACATTTGGATGTCAAACCTGAAAATATCCTTTTTTATCCTGATGGCCATGTATTCGTTTCGGATTTAGATCGTTCCTATGATATTTCTCAAAATATCAAGCCCACACTAGATGACTTTACCGGAACTCCTTTATTCATGGCTCCGGAGGTCGCTCGAGGTGAAGCCATAGACACCAGGTCGGATATATGGAGTCTGGGTGTCCTTGTGGCGGAGATGGTTACTGGTCCTATCCGACGTGAAGCTGAAAATACCGCTGAAGAATTTAAACGAGCTCGTATGGGTACATATTCCATACGGGGTTTAAAGCGTCTTTCAAAGCCTCTTCAGTCGTTTTTTAGCGCCTGTTTGCAACGTCAGCATACACAACGTCCTTACCTTAAAGGTGTAAAGGAGCTTCGGTTCTTAAAATATGTTGACTGGTGTAAGGCTGGGTCCAGACTTCTTCGTCCTCCATATTCGACTTCAGAACTCCGTCACCGATTGTCAAAAGAAGATAAGACCTCGGTATCCTCCACTGATGTAAATCTCCTTTCTGGAGCATTTAAACCTTGGAGACCAGCGAATTTCAATTCAAAAATTTCACAGAGCGCAAACACTGATGATTCTGAACCTGGGAATATTCCGTCCTCCTTAAAAAAAGCAGGATACACTGAAGAGAAACTGGACTTACTGTTTAGCTCGTTCAACTTTATACATCCGAGTTTACAGGCATCTGTTGCCAATACTGACATTTCAGATTCTTTATCAAAACTAACAATGAAGCTAGATACACCGACAGATTGTTCAGTCGATAACATCCCAAATACTAAACATCCTAAAGGTCTTACTAATGGTAATTCTATGGGGCCCATGCTTTTCCGAAGACCTAGGTCCAGAGGTACATCTATTGGGGATTGACTATTTTACGACTTGAAACTGTACTTCATATATATGCTCGTTCATGCAGTCACCTCAAATAACAATCGCACAACTGGGTTTTCAAGCCAAAAGCAAGTAACTATCTTATGTGGTTTTAATTTAGTGCTTTACTTTCCAAGAATGTGTTTGTCATGTAAATATAAAATGTTTAGTGTTCTTCGGATCACTGTGTCTTCTCGTTCCTGTTGTAGACCATTTGAATTGTTCGAACTAGTATTGTACTTAAATGACAACATACCTTTTTGGATGTCTCCATTCAATTATACAGTGGATTATCTATGTAAGTATGCAGTTTTGGACTTAATTTCTACACGGAAACACTAGGTAGTAGTTGTCGATTTGAAATACGTGAATAGTCGGTACTGGTAATGTTCCCTAATGTTTGGCAGTTTAAACATAAAAGTGGTTAGAAGTCTTTGGAGTTCCTCGTGAGAATGTGCATATTCAATTTTTCACTAACAGGACATGTATGCATTTAGATTTTGCAAATTATAGTTACACTTGATAATAGACCTATTGCTGGAAATAACACTTTCGTCGACTGAATTTTCAGGATTTGATCTAACAGGAGGTCTACTAATAAACTCAGGATACGCAGGTGACATAGTTCTGTTTGATGAAGACGCTGACGAAATGCAGAATCTTCTGTTAGAACTGAGTAACAATGCAAGGATGTTTGGGATGCGTTTCTCCCCCACCAAATGTCAGTTGTTGATCCAGGACTGGCCTATGTCAACACCTGAACTAAGGATAGGGAGCAAAGTAATCGAACGCGTCGAAAACTTCACTTATCTTGGTAGTCTGATTAGTCCTAGTGGGTTGGTGTCTGACGAAATCTGTGCACGGATTCAAAAAGCTCGTTTGGCTTTTGCCAACTTACGTCACCTATGGCAAAGGCGAGATATCCGTCTATCAATTAAGGGGCGAGTATACTGCTCAGCAGTTCGTTCTGTTCTACTTTACAGCTGTGAATCATAATATTTAAGAATAGGAGATACTCGTATGTCACTAGTATTTGACCACAGATGCCTTAGAATTATTGCTTGCAACTGCTGGGATAACCGGTTAAGTTATAGTGAGGTTAGACACAGGGTATTAGGGAATGATGGTAAATCAGTTGATGAGGTCATGAATCTTCACCGACTGAGATGTTTAGGCTACGTGTTACGTATGCCTGAACACCGACCACAACGACGCGCTATGCTGACTAGTGTAGGGGATGGTTGGAAAAGAGTTAGGGGCGGCCAAACCGAAACGTGGCGTCAGTGCTTGGAGTCACTAACTTCTAGTCTGAGCCATGTTGGCAGATGCAGACTACCTGGTTGGGCTCCGCGTGACGATCGTAACCAGTGGTTTGAGACTGTGTGACATGACTCAGAATTGATCACAATGGCGTGTGTATACACTCTCTGTCTTCCCTTAAACTGTGAGATTAAAACTGCTTCATATCTGTCTTTCTTTCTGTACTATATCCTTATATACAACCTTTCTTTTATATATTATCACCATTGAATTAACTACTTCAATGAATTCGGTGTTGATCTTGTTGTGGTAATGAGGTATGGTAACTTGGACTGATGCATATAGGTGCCTGGTCTTACGTTGTAGCTGACTAACTGATTTAAAATATAAATTCATAACAAAGAAGCTGAAGCATGCGTGCTATCCTGGGTTATCTTGTTTCAAGTAGTTTTATTGGAGTGAAATCAAATAAGAAATCACTGAACTTGTCTAGATAATTAGTCCAGGAGACAAGAAACAGAATTACTCAGAAAGTTGTATTTGAGATCTGAGAATAGGTATGTGGCAAACATATTTGGATTAAGCCGCCTAGGGAAGTTGTATTCACTAAGTTATGGTGTATTGGCTCCTATCGAGTACCAGCTGTGAATGTCACCGATGGTTATCGAATTTAAGACATTCAGACTCATGTAATACTTAGAAGATAATTTTACTAACACAGCATCCACCGAATTATCATGTAGTTCACCTAACTCAATAAATGAGAGAACTCCACCTACTAAGTGGTTGTAACGCACTTTGTTCTAGCTGTTGAATTTTGTCATTTTTCACGTAGTTACACCAAGAATTCCAGAAGCTGACTATAAGAGTTTGTGTTTTAGTCGTTTGATGCTTGTCCGTTCCTTCTAAGAAAATGTAAGCCTATCCGAATGGTTCAGTAATCTAATTAGTGACTGTCGGCTTGTGCTATTTATTCATGCATTTAGGGCTCTCACTTTACCTCGCTGCTGTATACAAAACAGTAAACCATTTTCGCTTCCTAGTTTATTCTTAAGCACCAACTGAGATCTCGTAGTTTCTACGTCATGGCTTATTCAGATTATCTGCACTGTATAATGGTCAGTCTAAATCTATTATAAAGATACTAGTTTTGCAGCAGTTTATTGATCTGTACCATCTTAGGTTCTGTTACGGCGGACTCATTTGTTGTCTGTCACTAACTGAATACCGTTTAATATATCGTGCAATTCTGACTGACACAATACATATCTTTGGATCCTTAGGTCATTAATTTGATTTACGTCTAAGGTGAAGTTTTTTTAGTTAGGGTTGTGTAGTATGGCTCATAACCGATCACTTTTTGTTAACGTACTTATATATTACCTGTTTAAATTTTTAGATATCTTACTTTATATGTGTTCAACAACTACCGGCTTACATTCTTTGTGTTCATTTTTTGTCTATTCAAATAAGTCTCAGTGTGAATCTTTTAGTTAATGATATCTCATGGTCCAGAATCGGTCATAAAGGGAGAAATGCATTAATTCATTGCCATCCTTTATGTCGTAGGTTGCATAGTTCTTTATACATTTCTGTTTGAGTCCTACTTTGTGTCACCATTAATTACTGCTACTTGTTCTAGGACTTTGATATTCATGTTATTGGTTCCCTTCACAAAGAGTAAATGGTTAACCTCCGACTACTTTACAGAAGGGAAGTAAACAAGTTAACTTTTCTTCCTTTAGGTAGCTCTAAGAAGAATTTTTCTTTCTGAACACCCCCGAATTTTCCCTATGTTGCCTAACAACACTCTTAAATGTCCTAAAACAATCACTCCAAATAATCGTGAAAACTTTCTTACAACTTTAAATACTAATTTCTTTTACGTTTTACGCAATTTGGCCGTTGCTTATAGACAATTCTTTTTGGCAAATTCAGCATTTTGTCAATTCTTAGAAATAACTAAGCTTATCAGTCTGTATTAAGCTGAGAAAACAAAAAAATACAATGAATTAGTCATATTGTCATTCTTGCTTTGTTTAAACATCTGTAAGCTGTTCAATGAAGGTATCTATCCCTAAAGTTTAGTTCATCAAGTGCTATTTAAAGGAACAACCATACCTACAAACAGATTACTGGATCATGAAATACTGCCAGTGTAAAATTATTAGTTTAACGTGGAAAATACGCAAGTCTCCCTACCAGGCTACCGGATCCTTGATGATATGATTCACTGTTGGTCGGATTAATGAGTACATACTCCATGCATTTATTCCCTTCTAGTTAGTTTTTGTTGTTGATGCTACCACTTTTACTTCTTTTATCCTCAATTTCCTATATGGTGATACAAAATGTAGCGAATTGAGGTAATATACACTTGTACCAGTTTCCACGTAAAGTATGTACTTGGTATGAGCATGAGAGGTTTATTCCTTCTAATTATACCCCACATAGACCAACTTTCAACTGGTTATGCCACGATAAGTATAACGAATGGTAACTTTGCGATCTATTTATGAACCCATGCTGTGAATATTTTTTATCGTATAATCGCTAAATAACTAAACTATTCATATTTGTGTCCCCCTTATTATAAGCTTTATTTTGAGCTATAAACTATTGTTATATGATTTACCATTCCTGAATTAGGCCCTGTCTATTATTTACTATCTCCCTTATTCACAGTCACATTTGGCTAGATCTTGTTCACATGTTATTTTCTATTTTATGGTGCGATGTGGTCAGTTTGGTTGATGTATAAACTCAGTATGCTTGAAATACAATGATTCATACCGCAGAGGCTTTTCTGGACTTAACTGGCTGGACTAGGCAGATAGCAGAACCGATAAGTACTCAAGACTGCTCGTACGGTTGTCGTGTCAGTGATCCAATTGATAATTCGCTGTTCTCTGATTGGTAGTCTTATCACGTCATACGTTAACAAGGCTACAGTTATAACACAATCGATAGCCCCCATCCTTATGCCACGTGGTTCAAATGCTAGGCTCAAGAAATCAAATGTGTTTACTTTTCGTCTTTCTTTGAATCATGTCTCAATACTACATTTTAGTATTCATTTCTGGTTCTATTTGTTATGTTTACCCATATTTCACAAGCTAAGCTAACCGTCCATATTATTATTTCGACTACTGCTTTCCGTGCCGTACTTTCCTCTTGTGATTAGTGAGGTGGCGAAATTGTATCAATACACGTATATATCAGGTCCTATGTTCTTTATGACTGATGAAGGATGGACAATCAGGTAGCTCAAAATCATAGTTAATTGGGTCGAATCATTAATTTACTTGATGTGTATAAGGAGAGGGAACTAGTGCATTTCAGACTCTTAAATTAGCTGGTCTTCACCACTCAACCCCCTATACAGCCTGTTAACATTCGTAAGCCGCACATATAAAACGTAGCTCAAAGCCTTAAGCATTTTTACAAGCATCAGCATTGTCGCTAATGTAATTTTTAGACAAATACGAAAAGTAAAAAGGAACGAAGCGAGCGAAGAAATTTCTTTTCAATCAGTTTTTCATCATGGCTCTACACTATATATATGATTCACAATAAGGGAGTAACACTCATCGAGTAGATACGTTACGTAATAATTATATAATGACATACCGATTATTAGTTGGAAGAAAGAGGATTAGTAATAATCAAAGTATTTATTCGAAAATCAAGCTGTTGCATAATATGTCAAAGAAGAAAAAAGAACTAACAAAAGGTGG